GAGGAACGGAAGCTGGAAGTCTTTGACCACTACCGCTTAAGGACCATCCTTCGAGTTAAGTACACCGACTTAGCCTCAAATGAGATAGTCCGCACTCGCCGAGACAACATCGCAAAGATATCCCAGGCCATTTAAGAAAGACAACTGAGGTGATTTGGACACGTTCTTTGTCGTCAACCTCAGGAGCTCAGTGTTAAGGCCGTCGACTTGAAACCGTTACCTAATTGGAAACCTCGAAAGAAGGTCAACTCAAAACCCAGCTCGACTCAGTCCGTCAAGACATGGAAGTGGTTCTTGGACCTTCGGTATTCGGTCTCCGGCGTTGGCAAAGAGAATGACCCAAACTATCTAGGTCTGCGGCCACAGATAGTCGCGCGTGGAGAGGCACCGTACGGGGCCCCATTGAGGCCGGCAAAATCAGTTATGATCGCAGCCGAAACAAGTACAAGATGTATGGTCCCATAACGGAAAAGTAATGTGCGGTGTCTGCAGGCGTGGAACCGGTGAGAGCTAATATAATGGTTGATAGAGTACCGAAATAGCCTGGTGTGGTGACTGAAAGTGAAATAAAGAAGGTGTAGGCAAGGGGCCCAAGAGACTGTTTGGCTGAAATGTGCATTGCGTTTAAACTGCAACCGGGACATGGTGTTACGGTGAGTAAGAGGCCGTCAGCCATGATGCTGGTGCTCGTTTCCGCGGCAAAAACTTCACCAATGTAAATAGTATGGTAACTTGGAGGGTATCCAACTTTACCAATTGTGGTCGTGATGAGGGAAGGGGGACAAATTGGCGGGAGCGGGGTGGTCTGCGATAATCCAGTTCCTCGTCTCTTGAGTCGCTCCAGCTTGCTTAAACCATCCGTGCCCGCGACCAGAAAATCAGAGCCCAGTTCTCTACAAGCATGCAGGCTGCCACGTCAAGGTCACACGCCGTAGCTCCAGGGACGCGCGCAGGAAACACACGATAAGATAGCGTGGGAATGGACGCGGCGTGGACATGGACCAGTCACAAGTGCCACCCACCCCCCGCCTACCAATCCCATTCACACGTAGCCAACGCTTGCTGTTTTCTCATTTTATCTGACGATGGCTTCTCGTGTGCAGCCGAAAGCTCAGGACAATAAATTAATTGATCCGGTGCTCGACTCGTCTCCTCCCAAGCAGATACCTGGAACGCGAACTTTCTCATTAATTCGGTTACTAGGGTCTCATGGTCAAGTTTAAAGCCTTTTAAGGGGGTTATTAATGTGTCCTTTTAGCGTTATTTCTGTCCGCTCAGTCTGCGGGTGACGTTAGTGACGTCGCTGTTGGGGGTGCGTTCGCCAATCACAGCCTCCGAGTGGCCGTCACGACGTAGATGGATATGCTTAAATACGACATGGACAGTGGTAAATGGGGACTCATCGATTGCTTTACGGAACATGGTCACGAGCCACGCCAGCAGCCGCACAGATGAACGTTGCCGATCAAGATAAGGGAGAGTGGAAGGGTCATTTCTGGCTTCTCGAGTTGTCTTCGGCCAACCATTCCGGCTCCAGTTTGTGCAACCCCTGAGGCTTGAACCTGCATCTACCGCACTAACCATTGAGCCAGGGGTTTGTTGGCCTGTCGATTGGATACTCAACCTACCGCTGATAGGTAAGCTGTGTTCTCGTTCTTTCGTTTCGTTTCGTTCTCCCTCTTGTCTCCTTTTCCTTCTTTTTTGTCTCTCTCTTATTCTTTTCCTCTTTCTTGTTTTTCGCTCTCCTCCTCGTTTCCTTTCTCTCTCCTCTCTCTGTCGCCTCCTCTTCCTTTTGCCGAACCCGCTCTACAATGCTCATCTCCGATTTGTTTTTCCTTTTCAGCACTGCACCCATCCCACTCAGGCGACCGATAGCTAGACTGTGGCCTGTTGCTGGCAGTGGGAGAGAGTGAGGTCCCCCCTCAGCGCATT